ATGGAGAGAATCCTAAATGTAGGACGGGCAGGAAGAGATTCTCAAAACAAATCCTTTGATCACAAAATGGTGTGCCTTGCAGTAGTTAGTTCATAAGTACTGTCGAAATCGTTAGCTGAAGCGTGAAAATTCTCAATATTGAAAAGGGCTCGGAAAACGTATAATTCCGGGTAAATTACTTGCGGACTTGTTTCGCTGACCCTGCGAGAGATTTACTCGGTTGCCACGCCTTCAGCTGACCTAAAAAAGTAATCGAAGTAACAAATTTGGATGATATATTTCTAAATAGACAAAACTCGCCACCAATTCGAAACCAGTTAATATTTCATAGGATAGCGTGCCTCAATTGCCTGGATAGGGAAACATCTGGCATACAGTCATATTTTTTAGAAATACCTAAATTTTTCGAATTAAGGAGACAGTTCTGTGATTAAGCAGCATAGAATTTATATACTAAGTTACACACATCGAACGTTTTCAAGTTAAATTCGCATGACCTTATCTGATGCGAACCATGGAAGAATTCAACGAACATGGAGTGAAAAAACCGGGTGGGAGAGACAAACGAGAACAGATGAAACGTTGAAACTCACAAATAACTTCAAGCATTGCGCAATGCGTGAAGTATCATCTTAGGTTTGTAGGCGCCAGTGCATCACGCTGCTTTGCTGCGCTCAGCTCTAATATTTAAACTTGCGGAGTCGGCGTTTTTCAACTCATGAATTTTAAATATTTGCACACTCAGCACTCGCATTCAAATTAAGGGGAAAAATAAACGCATAGAGGGAAAATATAATGTGCGATTTGTAAATATTAAGGTGGTTCCGTGTCAAATTTGATGATTTCCAGAGCTTGTTGATTTTTTCTTTGATAAATTTGAGCCACGAATCTCATTCAATACGGGTTCTAATTTTCTCTTCGGAATGCTGAGAACACACAATGAAAAGTATCTCAAAATTGGAATAAATCAGTGTTGGTACGAAGTAAACATTAAAGAACAGTGCCCTATCTGCAATCTATGCCGTCTGGAAAACCTAGAACATATCCTCTTTGAATGTCCAATGTACACTAGCGTTAGGAACTTCTATTTTAAAAATGTACCAAGTTCAATGTTAATCCTAAATAATCAGCAAAAATTGAGCACATTTCTGCACTGTATATGTTTTTGTCATCAGCAATGAAAATTAGATGTTTTATCCTAAACGAGTCGAACGAGTAGACCCTATATATTTTTACACTTCTACACTTTTATACTTTTATACCTGGCTAATGATGCTTTTGTTTTTTTTTTTCCTCTTTAATGAACCTTATATAATTGTCAAGAACCTCTTTTTATAAACCCGTTATTTTGGGTAAAATAAAATGGATTACTTTTTGCAATAAGGAACCACTATTTCTGCCCCATTTTAGAAACAACATACATGCCATTGGTTTCCCTATGCAGATATGTGCTTTTAGTGGAGAGCCAAATATAGTGGTACCTTTTTGCAAAATGTAATCCAAGTACTATTCAATTCTATTCTATTCTAATTTTCTCTTGGGAACCGACGAAACCCGAACGACGTGGCAACGCCGGATTGGGAAATTAGGGAAGGAGGCGAGACCGCTCCCTCGCGGAGGACCGGGACCGGGAGAGGACGGCGATAAAGCGGGATCCCTCGGGATCAAAGCCCACGCGAATCGTCACTAATAAGGGAACGAATTTGTCGAAGATAATGGAGACTACTTTGGAGTCGATTTCCGCTCGCTTTTGTCCTCAGCGCCGCTATTATTAATTAAGGTAAGGACTTCCGCGGCGCCGCGTCGCCCGCCCCTCGCCGGAGGCACTCCGCATCCTCACGACAAACCCACTGTGCTGTCCGCACGACTCGTCACCTTCCGGCCAAGTATCGAAAGCGCCATGCGAAGTTTCAAAATTTCCGCCGCCAATTTATTTTTTACAATGAACTTGTACAAACGAAGCTGTCCGAAAATTTCATTGAATGAAGATGTTGCATGTGTGAGGAATTTGCGATTTGACTGTTGATAATTACGTAAAAGTTCGCGAGAATCACGATGGTGCCACTGGTTTTCTCTGAAATCAACTCCAAAGGTCAAAAAAAGCTCTCAAGTTGAGACCAAAATGGAGGGGATATTCCACGCATCAAGACAAACTCTCCATGCAAAGTTAGGGAGCAAATACATTGACAGGGCTGCCACTTCATTTGGGAACTCCAAAACTGAAAACACGGCAACCCTGCTAATGTATTTACTACCTATCTTTGCATGGAGAGTTTGTCTTGCTATATAGGTGGACTCTCAGGATAGCGTGGGATATCCTCTCCATTTCGGTCTCAACTTGAGAGCTTTTTTTGAGCTTGGGAGTTGATTTCAGAAAAAACTAGTGCCACCATCGTGATTCTCGCGAACTTTTACATATGAATCGATGGTCAAATTGCAAATTCCTCACACATGCAACATCTCCAATATCTATGTGCTGCCGATAAAATTCAGTGAAATTTTCAAACAGATTCAACCAACAATTGCTCCGTCCAATAATAAAATGACGGCGGAAATTTTGAAACATCGCATGGCGCTTGTGATACTCTGACCAGAAGGTGACGAACGTGACAAATTTCGATGCCGCTACTTGGTTCCCTTGAACAGTTTAAGAGAGTACGTCACCAACACCCGATGTAAAAGAATTGACGGAATAGAACCAGGAAAAATTTCATAACATTGTAACATTACAAAGTTTGCCTTACCATTACCAATTCTTTCTTAATCAAATAACCGTACTTTTCTATGGAACCTTTCACTTGAAAAATGGCAAGGAATTTCAATCGGGTAACAATAACTGAAATTCATTATGAAATTACATACCGCGTTTCATTTTGCATCCCTGCGGCTGATTGTTAAAATTGATAGGGATAGCAATCACTGGAAAAAAAAACCCATTGGATCTAGAGTCCAGACTCCTAAAAACATCGTCAAGAAAAAAAACGCTTGATTCAATCGGATTTAAGCTTAAATCAAGAACCAAGCCTCTTAATTTGAGACGATTTCCTTTTGATTTAAGCTTAAATCTGATTGAATCATGAGTCCTTTTTCTTGTTAATGTTTTCAAGGGTCTAGACTCTAGATCCAATGTGGTTTTTTTTTTCCAGTATAACAGATTTGAAGTGTTCAAAAGTTCCGGGAAAAAATTGAAAAAAGATTCGATAATTTGATCAAAAAATCATGAAATTTGATCAAATATTAGGTCAAACTGACAGAAGACCCCGAAATTCCGGGAAAAGTCCCGATTATTTGAAAAGTTCAAAATTCGGAATTAATTCCAGGGGAGATGGCAGCTTTTAACAAGTAACTTCAGGAGAGAGACTCCTATAAAATCCACCGATTCGTCGATTCGGATGGAACTTGTAGAAGCACTGAAATTTTCTCGCGATAACAGTCCATCCGTTCAAAATTTCGAAGTTTAACTTTCCGGGGATTCACTAGTGATTTCACAAGGATGACTGCTAAAATCTACCATTTTACGAGCTTCTTCACAAGAGGCATTCCTATAAAATCAGCCGATTTGACAACTTGGACGGAACTTGCGAAAGCTCTGAAATTTTCTCGCGAAAATAGTCCATTCGTTCAAAATTTCGAAGTTAAACTTCCCAGGAATCCACGAGTGATTTCCTCGGCTAATTTCCATCGATTCGACAACTAGGACGAAACATGTGATGTTCTCGGTATCTCCGCTTAAGCCCTCAGCAAATATATCGAGGACCCGTCAGCCCACACGATTCCGGTCGGGCGGGATTCGAGGAGCGGTTTCGGTTTGGCTTTCGCATGTAATTAAACAAGTCGCCGCCGTTGAGCGGTTTACGAGTCCGCAGGGCCGAATTGAGTTAAACCGATGCCGATGCGCCACTTCCGATAACATGCTTTGTGGACCGCGCGTGACTTGCCGGAGAAGCCACCCGCTCGGCCTCACGCGGTAAAGTTAGCAGATGTCAAGCGACAAAAAAAGTCTGATGACACGACGCACAGTGCGGTATCCTTACGGACAATACGGACAAATATCGGTGAAAGACACTTAACTTTAAATAATAGAGAAAGAAGCACCGACGTAGAAAAACCCTTTGGTCTTTGGCGCTATCACAGTAAAACACTCAAGGAATAGGAAAGTGCTATATTTTGCGTATTTTTCGAGAAAAGGCCAATTGAAGTAGACTAACTCGAATCAGCCCTATGTTAACAATGTAAAAGCAACGTGAGACAGTTGAAACACCCTAACTTTAACTTCGAATATCTCTGATAGTCACACGATCGTTTTGGTAGAATTGAAGAAAATGTCAACCACCCAGAACATTTTGCGTTTCAAGCGAGAAATCTTCACTTGAAGTTGACGTCTTTTTCCCGTGTATTTCTTATGGATTCAATCCATTTTCCGCCAACTTTCTACCCGAATTTGAAGTAGTTTTGAGCTAAGAATTTGAAAATAAACCATCATCGTGGGTCTTCTGACCCGCAATCATATCCGCAATATCAGTCAGTCCCTATCATGGGCATGGCATGTTGCAAGGGTCCTCTCAGAGCTCTTCACAAGTCAGATTAATTTTTAATTTTTAGTTAATTAGTAAATGTTATTATTAAAATTGTCAATATTAAAAACAAAGATAGTTAATTTAATCATTTATCAGTGTCATTTATCTACCTTAGTTTACAACCAATATAAGAATATAAAAAGTATCATGCCACTCCAATGGTTTCTTTGGATTCAAAGTCCGTCCAATTGTCGATTATGGATCTCAAAATGCTGAGTATTCGCCTGAATAAAAACACATCTCTTTTTCTTTTCTTTCAGTTGACCGCAAATGTTAAACAGCACTTGGATTCGAGACAACCAGCGGAGAATCGTCAAAAGTCGATATGTCACGATTTGGTAAGGCTCAACAAACTTAACGGGAAAACCAGTGAAGTGCGTGAAATAAACAAATGCACCGGTCACACGACAAACAGGCATACGTGAAAAATTCAACTTCTGAGAGGTGATTGTTCCATCAGTTTCAATCCTGATTCGAAAAATGCGCGGGCTGATTCGCGAGTGTAAACCCATCGGAGGATCCTACGGTATCCGAGTTGAAACCGGTGATGCGACATGACGATACGCTAGTGACGCAATCGGAACCACGTGTCAGTGCGGGAAGACGGATGAAAATGTGACTGGTTCGATCAACCGTACGAGGATCATGATAGTCCTTCGCTGGATCACAACGGTTTTCTCAACTTTACTACTTCTACTTTTGCGTGTCGACTTCACCTCGAACGTGCCGATCCCGTCCACTCCGCTTCTAGGTGAGGAATAATTTATTTTTTTTCCCTCTCCTTTTTGTGCATTTGTATTGATTACTTTCTCAGGATGTTCGGAGATATTTTCAGAGTGTAAACCCCGAAGCCGGACGCCCGGCTCATATTAAGAGGCTTGGTTCTTGATTTAAGCTTAAATCTGATTGAGTTAAGAATGCTTTTTCTTGTCAATGTTTTCAAGAATCTGGACTCTAGATTCCATGTGTTTTCTTTTCTAGTGTAGAGTAAATCCGCTCATATTAATCCACTTATTTGGTGGCAAAGCGCAGGAGTGAAATGCATACCGGATTTCACGCAGAGATTTTCTACCATGTGCTAAAAAGTTGATTTAGGAATCTTGAGATAAATGAAACAGGTGTGGAGAAACACAATCTATGTTCAGAGGATCTTTCCTCTGAAGCAGCATGTTTCCATCTACTGGAATCAGTTTAAAGTTTTCCGAAGCGCCGCGTTTGCCGGCTTCAGAATCAAATGTATACACAGAAAGTACTCGCGAGGTAATCTGAAAAAAGGATCAGATAGGAGCACGGCTCCCGGGGCGGGGCCTGATTTTTTAAGTCAACGCAAAGCAACTGAAGAGATAATGCAAGCGTCCATTTTTCAAGAGTGCTTCACCCCTTTCAACTCGACGGAGCTGCATTCACAACGAAATGCAAACACGTTACGTCAGAGGCACGTCTGGTCTCGAACGTAGTCATCCCCCGGAAACATAACTGCCGGATTGGGCGAGAATAGTAAAAACCACCCCTACCCCCTTACGGGATACTGAGAAATGGATGTTTTGAAAATAATCTCGTAGAGCAAATATTACAAATCGTTGATGACCTGCACTGGAAAAAAAACACATTGAATCTTGAGTCCAGACTCTTGAAAACATTGACAAAAATACTCATGATTCAATCGGATTTTTGCTGGAATTAAAACGAAATCCGCTTAAATTAAGAGGCTTGGTTCTTGATTTAAGCTACATTCTGATTGAATCAAGAGTACTTTTTCTTGTCGATGTTTTTAAGAGTCTGGACTCTAGATCCAATGAGTTTTTTTTTCCCAGTGTGGACAAATTACATCGAACCAGATAGAAGACGGAACAGAATAACTCAATATTTTTCCCAGCTTCTTAAGTGGGATTTTTCCCTAGGACAAATATCGTGAAACGGCCCGTGGCCCGGCTCATAACCGTGCGTTGTCAAAAAATGGGGCGCGATAGTTCGAAGTAATGCAAGTGAATCAGAGTTGTTAGCCTCGGAAAGTGAAATCATTCATCTATGTTAATGTAAACGTATGTTAATATGCGCTCAATCAATAATCCGCCCTCAATTGATCCCAAACAAACTGAAAAACTCGATTGCATCATTGCATGCTTCGAAGTCATCGCAAGCGAGTACCAAGCCTTAGGTTCCATCAAGCCGGAAGCCATGCAAAAATACCCGAAAGAAAGCTGGATGCAAATTTTTGGCTGTCCATTAACAATCTTTAAGGTAAGACGTTGCCAAACCAAAGACATAAAGACGGAGTGCTCGTATCTAAAAGCACGGGGAAAAATTGAAGCCTGGTTTGGCGCTGGGTGCTTGTGTGAGTGTGTAAATGAGCGCGGGAATCCATGGCGGCAAACGGAAATTTGATTAACGGTTAGAGGCAGTAATCTCAGATAAAGTTAGTTTTTCTTCTGCTCATGGTGGTTCTGCAGGTTCAAACAGGCCGTTACAGTTCTAGATGACCGTTCCTCCTGAATGAAATTAATCGGTCGACGACGGACCAAAGCTAACCTAAAGTTAAAAAAATATGAGTGGGTAAGTGAATTAGGGCAAAAATCAACCTAAGAATACTTTGTTTCCGCAATTTTATTTAGTTCCCGCCCTAAATTTGAATTTAAAACTTGTCCCAATTTTGCCGCCAATCCTCTAGCCAATAGTAGAGGTGGTTGAAAAGAAGCTTCATTTTTTGCTTTTAGCCCTCCGTCTTCATGGCTTTGTGCCAAACTTACTAATCACTTATTTTTTTCCGTTCCGTCCTTAATTTGAGTATTTGCGCTTTTGGGGTGACTCTCTCAACTTTCCATTGGCGCTTTTGGAAATTTGCGGTTTTGGGCGGTGGCCGTGGAGACAAGGCCGAAAGGCCGTATGTGCGACGGATCCATTCTCTCGGAACGACGTCTTGGCGGATAACGATGCGGCAGTTGGCGAATGGTCGTGGGATCGGCGAACGCTCCCATTTGAAGCACCCATGACTCCATTTTAAAGCACCCATGACTCCACGAGCCAGCCCGTTTGAGGGCGAGCTCTTTGAGCCTGGCTTCCGTCAGCCGCAGATTAAGGTTCGCGGAGAAGTTCGCGCCGTGTCGACGCGACGCCTGACGAAGCCGGGGCACGCAACCCGCTCGAGTCCCTTCGACGCCCTCACCCAATTATCCCTGTTCCTCCGGGTGAATTAGTCGTTAGCAGCTTACAGCCTGTTATGAGTTCCTCAACCTGATCGCGTGGCGCCCGCATTGCCAATTTTAACAATCCTCGATGCTTTAATAGATGGTATTTTTTTTTGCAGCACCAGAAAATTCAACAAACTTCCAAAAGAGCTTAGGGAAGAATTTATGAATGTTAGGTCTTCTTATCAAGTAATTATGAATAAAATAAAAACGTATGTGTATGAAAAGCAACGTCGGGCAACCGAAGACTAGAAAGGAGAACAGGAGTTCATGTTATTTCCCTTCCTCCTCTCTTTCTCTCACTCACTCTTATTATTATCCCATCTTATTTTCTCTCCTGTTTATCATTCTCTCCTTAAAAAAGCATAATTTAATTATTTCAGCTCCATAAAAATGATTATTTTACGTATTTTTTTCACATTCAGTTTGTTCCCACGTGTTTTTGTCTGGATCTGAGAAAAAGATTAATACCGTTGTTTTTTACATTTATTTTCGGTGTTTAAAATATAGTGACAGAAAAAAAAGACAGTTTGGTGTGCATCCTATCAACGAGGCCCGGTGTGCTGAGGGGGCATTAACTACCTTATATTTTAAACTTCGTGATGACCGTGGAAATAAATTTTTTAACTATTTCCGTATGGCAGTGCCTACTTTTGATGAACTTTTAGTTAAAGTAACAGTGGCCATACCTGAAAACGAAGATTTGCGCGACCTGAAAACGCGCGCATAAATGCGCTCATATGACTCCGTGTAGTTACAAACCGCGGGCGGCAGGAAATCGCCGGGCGGTTTCTAACTACAAGCGACATGATCTAGGAATCGCCATGGCAGTTTTGCCGCTACGATTTGCTGTCGCTTGCATAAACGGCTCTATAGCCTCCCGTGTGGTTTGAAATCGCGCGATTCGTTGTCGCCGGCGACATGGCCTCACAAATCGCGTGCATAAATATGCTCTGTAGTGGGCAAAATCCTCCCTACAATTTGTTTTCTTCCTTTCTTGTTTGTGAAAATTTAGGCCCTTTTTTGGAACGAAAAATTATTCGTTCATTTACGGCGAAGAAATGCAATTCAGTTTCCGTAAAATATCCTGGTTGAGGTGGTCAATAAATAAGTACGCCAATGAGAGAATAGACTTCAGTCCGAGAAGTCTTTAAGTTGTTCATGCCAAAGCACAGAGAAGAGACTAAGAACCTGCCAACATGTTGTGTCGACAAGTACACAACAGTATCAAACCGAACCGGAGATACGGCGCAGTGCAGCGGAAGGAAGTCCGTAATTTTAAGATACGTATATACGGAAGAGTCCTGATCTGTAACTTTCAAAACACGGAACTGCCGTATTAAAACGCACATTCACACCCTTTGTAACACAAAAAGGAACAAAGCCGCTTGCAACTTACTCTGTAGGACACCAAAGAGCGGTGTCTCGTTGGGTGCCGAAAATTTGAATTTCTCGGCCCAAGTTGACAAAAATTAGGCCCATTTGAGAAATGCCTCTTCCCATATGTTTTTAGACAAATGAGGGGAAACAAGGCATGAGGTGAGCTCTTGAAAAATTTGGTTAGTCTGCAATAGAGCAATCATCATCAGGAACTTAAAAAAATTCATGCAGCACTTGGGCGTTTAAAAACTAAATTCAAGTTGCTTGCAATGCCAGCCCAAAATTCAACCCTTGAATACGACTTCGAAAACGTTCAGATTGGATTTGCGGTCTTGGATCTTTTCCATAAGCCAATTCTGTCCGACAAAGGGTAGGGTGACATTACTCAAAAAATACAATCTCGTATAAATACACCAAACCGTCTGAAAGATATTTTTAAGCACTAAAATGTGTGGACACATTAGAAGAGAAAAAAAACAAACTGAATTAAAATTACTAACAATGTATTGGTTAAACGGAAGAAAATCTAAGTTAAATCTAGACAATAAACTACAGTCTCTTACCTTTGGACTTCCATATTAGTAATTTAAATCCCGAGGTCGTGCTGCCGGGGGAGAATGTTGGGCGGTAGAAGATGATTGTGGGAACGGCCATTCTCGCAACCGCCACAACATCGAGAGTCAATAAGTATCGTGTGTACACCATAAAGTAAACTGTGCATCGTTAAGAATGAAGTCCACCACTCAAATCACATATTCCTTGACGTGGACGTAGGGAGAGAGGTTGTTCATTTGTATTTTTGTATGTTTTGTTGTTGTATTTTTTCATTTTATTTATCAATGTTTTGGTTGACTCCTTATGTTTCTTCTTGTTCCTCTCACTTCGTGTTTCCTATTAGTTTTGGCATTCCTTCCTGGATATCTTTTATTCTTATGGGTTGGTTAAATTTTAATAGTAAGTATTTTTCTCATTTAGACCATTTTAAACCATGATAAGGCCGAACTGGGCACACGCATGTCAGTTGTGGACTTGCGCTGCGAACTCCAAAATACAGAAGATGTAGACGATCAAAATTAAAACGTTGAGGTAAATCGCGGGAGCGAAATGGCATCTGAGGAATGAGGATAGTAGATCAAAACTCGGTGTAGAAAGTATGAACGTTTTCATCTCCCGTATGCACGGAAGA